AAAACACTCAAAATGACCCCCCCATGGAGCTTTGGGACCCATTGGGGGTGCATAGACTTTTGCTGGCCACAAGGATCTCTGGTTTAATTATTAAACCAGAGCTAAATCATTTGCACCCAAGATAGTACCCCTTGAGACTCCTGATCAGTGTTTCTCAACCTTGGCTGCTTGAAGACTCTGGACTTCAACTTCCAGAATTCCCGAGCCAGCATGGCTGGCTGGGGAATTCTGGGAGTTGAAGTCCACACATCTTAAAAGTGTGTACATCGCAGATTTGCTATAGAGAAACTGTCCCATTCCTTAATGCCATTACAGCACTGAAGCTATTCCGCTCCTGTTGCCTGGTTCAAGTTTCTATTTTAGAAACACGCCAAAAATAGATGTGAGTTGCTGGGTGGGGAAGGAGGTGTGTCGGGGCTGCACAGTTCACCAGGGTTGTGAACGCTGCCACCGCTTCTGGGGAGATCAAAGGCGCCAACATCCGCTTTGGACAATTGCAAGAAGGGGCCGATTGTTCCTAGCTCCAAAAGCTGGCGCTGCCAAGGGTCTGCGGGATGCCTTTGTGAGCGGGGCGGAGGGCACAGACTCCCTCTGCAGGTACAGCTGCTAACCCAAACCCCACGCACACAAGAGCCCTGGGATCTTGGGCAGGGGGGTAGACTGCCTCTGTCCTTGGAAGCTCCACCCATCAATCGCCCGCCAGCCAGCTTCGTCCAACGGCCTCCACATTCTGGCCTCGCAACGCTCGCTTCGTTAAAAGCTTCTGAGCCTAAACCAACTCGCTGGATTGCGGTTTGCCTCCGATAACCTGGTTCGCATGTGCTTTGACTGGCTCAGATTTAACCACTGCGGTTTCTTATTTTGCGCACCAATGCCAGGGCTCTGTCTTTTTTCTCCCTAAATCTTTGCAAGGAAGGCACTTTTCGGAGCCCTTCAGTTTGGTGACTGTCATAGACGGCTTAAGTGAGCTCCTTCTATTTGAACCTTCTCTGAGCAGAAAGGAAAATGCTCTCCGTTCTGAGTCCACCACCTTAAGCTGAGCAAAACTTCCCTCCCCACTCTTTGCTGCAGGGGAGATAAACAACTCTTAGACAAACAAGGATGGAGCCTAGATTTTGACTCCTGCAAAACATCTCGGCAGCCAATGTCCGGGTGACCTGGATCAACTCCCCCCCCTTCCAACTATTTGCACTACGGATGTAATAAACCAGGATTTTATTTATATTTCAAATTTAGATACCGCCCATCTCACAAAAAATGTTTGAAAAGAACAATTGTGGGGATAAACAGAATCCTGGTTTATTCAGCTGACCCAGTTCTCAGGTTCGGGCCACACACTGAAGTGTCAATGAACCCATGGAGGAAGGGGTTTGCACGACCCACGAGGCTCAAATGTGGTTGCCTGATTTGTGGGTCATGGGCTGTGCAAATCAGCCTAATTTCTCTCCCCCCCAGAGAATTCTCAAATGGTGCCCCCAAACACTGTAAAATCCGCTCCCCAAATTTCAGGCTACAGTCAAATATCGGTCCACTGTGTCTCAATACCATTGAGATCTGGCCCCACAAGCTTTCCCCATCTTGGCCCATTCCCCCTATTATCTACTATTCATCCCTCAGGTTGGCACATCCTTTTCTCCTGTCGCTGCTGCGCCTTTAATAGCTGACCATCATGGACTAACGCGGTCTCCACCATGCAACTGCTCTTACCACTAGGATCTGTCTCCTGGCCTCTTAAGATCTTTGTTGCATCTCCTCTGGGATGACAGAGAACGGGTTGTGACATTCTCTGATGTATTATACCAAAGGCTGTTATATTCCTGCCCATTTCTCAAGGCTAAACACACCTAGCGCCCTCAGCCTCTGCTCCTAAGAAGCCCCAGTTTTGCAACTGAAACAACGAAGGCGGCAGAGAGCAAAGGTCCCTGGATTCTGGAGAAGCCTGGAAAATCATTCTCAGGTGGCGCAAGGAACGGTGCGGCGCCACACTTCATGCGCCTTCCCCCACATGGCAAAATGTAACCCGCTGTTGCGGCACGTTCAGGCTTCTCTTCTGTTCCTGCCTGGCACAGAACCCAGGGGGGCAGGAAACGTTAACCAAGGTTAAACTAGCGTGCTAAATATTCCTGCCCCGCTGCGGCGCGGGTTGAATGTTCACAGGCCGCCTTCGGGCAAAGGGGCAGGTGTAGCGGGTGCCCGCAGGCTGGATCTTGCACAGGCGCCGCTGGATCCCTAAACCCCAAATCTTCCATTGGGGTTTTTCGTAATGAGCAGGCTGCTCGTGATTCCCGACTGCTGTTTTTTGCATCTGGGGGTATGTCTGCCTTCAAGTCAGTCTTGACTCCCACCTAGCCCGCAAGCAAGTCCCTCGTTTCCTTGGCAGCGTTTTCGAAGCGTTTGGCCCTGGCCTTCTTCCTTGCCTTCCAGCTGGCTTCGTGCCTAAGGTGGAACTAGAACTCCAGTTTTCCCGTTCCTTATCCATCCCCTTAGCTACTAGACCAGTGTTTCTCAACCTTGGGAACTTTAAGATGTGTGGACTTCAACTCCCAGAATTCCCCAGCCCGCCTCGCTGGGCTGGGGATTTTGGGGGGTGAAGTCCCCACATACTAAAATTTCCCAAGGTTGGAAACAAAGGGCTATTA